TGGTTGCACAGATCAGAACAAAAACTACATCTTTATCTGCTTTTCATATATCCTGGTGCATTTACTGAAATTAGCATTAGAGATAACCCACGTATACTCAATACGAGAACATTCATACCTACCTTGCGATGGTGAATTTAGTCTCATTTCTCGTACAAAAAAGTAGTTGTTGACGTTTTAAAAGAATGGGATAATCTTATTGGGCAGCCAAGGTTTAAACTGGTTAATGCTGGGAAAGAAACTGACTGGTTTCTCATGGATGAAAGTTTTAAAGATTTATTTTTGAAGAATCCAAAACCAAAAATTTCATTGAGACCAGCAACAATGTACCGAATATCTGAGAAGTATCCTGAATAAATTTTAATAATTTTAAGTTATTACAGCCCATGGACGTTTCACACCATTACTGGAAAAAGAACACCAAAACAAATAACTCTAATACCAAATACAATTGTTAAAACAGGTAAATAATAAACTGCTGTTTTCTATTAACGATTTTATTTTGTGTCAGATCTACCAAAATAATAATGTAGTTATTGAATGAGCGGTTATCTGTAAGTCAATATTGCCTCTGTCACAAGGAATTATCGTCCTCTCTATTGGATAATCATTTCTGTAAAAAATATTAAAATAATTTATTAACAACTTCATTATTTATTAAAAATGACAACAGCATAAAAAATAATGTTAAAGAGTATACTAAAATATAATTTATTTTAATACAAGAATAGAAAAACAAAATCACTGTTAATGTGCGAGTGACACAAACACGCACGCACGTGTTTTTTTTTTTTTTTAGTTAACCCCTTCATAAATTTTGAGTTTATTGTTTTTTCTTCTTTTTCTTCTCTTTCTTTCTTTTCTTCTCAATATGCTTCTTATTTTTTCATCGTTTTTACAAAAGTTAAAAGGATTATGTTACTTATTTTCAATATTGGTAAATACATACAGATATAGCTAAATTTAGCTTTGTTTTAGTTAGTTATTCTACATTCCTTTATTAGCTTTATGATGTATGTATTTGATTATCTAGTTTTATCTTTTTAATCGTTTAGTTTAATCTAGAGATTGATTTTAGGGAAAGTAGTGTACATTAACTGAAAAACAGAGACACTTAAGAACGATCTCAAAAACCCCCTACTTAATGGATTATACTTCTTTAATAAAAAACCTAGTGGGTGTTTTGTCTATTTTGCTAATTAGTTATTTGATTCATACCTTTTTAACCACATTGTATATTTTCTTTATATTCGGCAAAAAAACACCCTGTATAATTACTGTTTCGTCTCATATATTCCTGGTAGAGACGGGGCGCTCTGTATATCTGAACTTTCATTTATTAATATGCTCCAGTACCTGGCGTCCAACAATGAATATACGAATTCTTCATATATAATTTTCAGAAGAATTTGGATTATTTTTTTTTGTTGCAGTACACAACAATATTGTTGTATTTCATCTATCATATTGTTAGGTCATAAAGTTCTTCTTTTTATTGCGCCGTCTCCTTTCCATGAGGTTGGCGATCCAAATGGCAATTGTAGCTCTGGAAACTTATGCACAAAAGATTTCTGTGGATAGGCGGTCAATTTATCTCCTAAGGTTTTCCAGCCACTAGTTCTGGCGTTTTCCAACTGATCTTCTATCCTGCACATATTCATATTTTTCACCTCTCAACACATGACCCCAGTATTGTATTTTCCTCTGTTTGATTAAGCAATTCTTTTTGTTCATTCATGCGCTGAAGTACCTTACCATTGGTAACTTTTTATATTGATGGAATTCTCAGCATTTGTCTGTATATATACATTTCAAAGGTATTTTACACAGTCATAGAGCAAAACAGAGAAAACGTAACATCTGATCATTCGAGTTCTGAGCTGTAGACTCTTGTAAAAAATGTTTTTTATATTTGTGAATATCTTCCTCGTTGTTTAGTTGTTAATATTTTTTTTGGTTACACTGGCTATTGGTATCTGCTTAAAAATATTTTATGGAAGTGTAATATACTGGGGCTCCGCTGTCACCACTGTACAACTCGCGGGAGTTATATCCCCTTTTGTGACATCTGGAACTAGAGGGTGAGAAAATCTTCACCACTGTACAACGCTGTTACCACTGTAATATACTGGTAATGAACCTTAAAGGATGCTTATCCCTGCGAGCGGCTGCAAGGAATACCTGCCCCACTAGCCTGGAGGGCTGGCTCGCCTTCGTGGATTTACAAGAAGGTAAGGAACTTCGGAGTAGGGGTTAAGGACTTCTAGGTCCCAGGTCCTGTAAAGAGTTTGAGTCTATGGGCTTACTTTAGAAGCCGGATAAATGTATAAGCCGAAATTTGGTACTCTTCTGGTCTCTGTCTGAATCGGTCGGAAGGAACATAAACCAATTTTAGAGTCTACAAATGTATTGAATATACTATGTGGTTTACAATTAAGTTAACAAGCTGTCAGATATAAGTAATAATAACTCGTTCGGCTCGAAGGGAGACGAGAAGAGATCTTAGTAAGAAAGTAAAGGGGTGACAATCTGTAATACTATAATTTACTCGGGTTCATCATCATCATCAGTGGTGCTACAGCTCTAGTTGAGCCTTGACCTTCCCCAGTCTATTTCGCCAGTCGTTTCTGTTCATCGCCAACCGTTGCCAATTTGCCACGCCGATTTCCTTGCGTCCTCGTCCACACCGTCCCTCCATCTCAGTCGTGGTCTGCCTCTACTCCTATTTCCCACTGGGACCGATAATAGAGTTCGTCTGGGTGGGTAATTTTCATTTGCTCTTGACACATGTCCAGCCCATCTAAGCCTGCCTATTTTTATGAAGGATATTACATCTCTACCATTTACTATTTTTTTTATATTTCTCGTACAATTCGAAATTATATCGCCTACTCCAAATACCATTCTCACAGAATGCGCCCATTATTGTTCTTAGTATCTTCCTTTCGAAGACGAGCAGAAGATTTGCGTCTGTTTTGGAGATGGTCCATGTTTCTGACCCATATGTCAGCACTGGTAGGATGAGTGTTCGATATATTATTAGTTTGGTTTTCTGGCTTAAGTTTCTGTTTTTTAGCTGCTTGCTTAGTCCAAAATAACATTTGTTTGCTAGCAGTACCCTCCGTTTAACTTCTTCAGATGTGTCATTATCGTTTGTTATGAGAGAACCCAAATTATGTAAACTTATTTACTACCTCAAAATTATATTGGTCTATACTGAAGTTTTGTTCGGCGTTTCTAGCTCTATCTCTGTTATTTGGAATAGATGCTAGCATTTTGGTTTTTTCCTCGTTTATTTTAAGGCCCATGTTTTGTGCGGCTGTCAAGAAGGTGGAAGTCATCTCTTTAAGTCCTCGTGTAGTACGTGCAATCAAATCCAAAACGTTAGCGTACGCCATAATCTGCATTGATTTATTAAAGATTGTTCCCCTATTGTGTAACTCAGCATCTCTTATAGTCTTTTCTAAAGCTATATTAAAGAGAAGGCACGCCAGCGCGTCTCCCTGCCGTAACCCTGCATATGTTTCAAACGCTTGTGACATATCGCCTTGTATTTGCACTCTGCAGATCACTTTACTCATAGTTGTTTTTACGAGCCTTATTAAGAGAGAGATCTAGGGAGACGAGAAGTGATCTTAGCATAAAGTAAAGGGGTGACAATCTATAATACTATAATTTACTCGGGTTAGTATATAGAATTTTGTTACCTTTCGCGTATTTAGGCTCTAGCTAATGATACGCCCTTCAGTTCCTACGGAAATCGGATTTTTTACAGTACCCGACACTTATACGGAACTATACCCCGTCGAAATATAACAATCGCGCGTAATCCGCACCTGGTGATACTCTCATATTAACCACTCTGCCCGGAGACACCGACTGCCCGACTCCTCTGTTCTTCTTGTTTTTATTGAGCTCATATTTTCAATACCGGTTATAGTGCCAAGGTCGTGTTTTCGCTGAGTTGATCACCTATGCGTTATTTGGGTCACGAGCGGTGTTATTTTTACAACAATAGTTTCTGTTTGACGTGCTTTTTCTACGTTTAAACAATTATCGAACAATGCACTAACTACGTCAATTTCTTTGTGTAATTTAAAATGTATACTTTACTGTATTAATTATTCCTTATTTGATTTGGATTATATAATAATCATTAAAATGATTATTATTCTCCCCTATGCTACAAACCTTTATTTTAATCTTTAATTTCTTGCTATGTTTACATTATAGAAGTTACCTGTGCTATTATTTACCCTTGGCATACAAATGTACGTTTGTAAGTATCTTTGAAAATACTGGAATTTTAGTTTTCGAATCATTTAGATTAAAACCAAACATTTCGCTATACTATGCATATTATCGCACTACTGCATTTATTATATTTTGTACCTCTTGTGCATTGGTTGCTATTAGGGCGGTATCGTCAGCGTACCTGATGTTATTTATGCTGGTTTCGTTAATCTTGATTCTACCTTAAACCACGTCTAATAATTTTTTAATATAGACTCCAAATACAGATTAAACAATAGCAGTAATACGACGCAACCTTGTCGCACTCCTCGTCTGATTTGTATAACTTCGACTATTGTGTGCTCTATTTCAAGTATACCTATTTGATACCAATATAGTTCTGAGATAATTCGCAAGTCTTGTTCATCAATTGTTGTTTTACAGCTTAGCTGTATTCCGTGTATCTTGTTTTTCTCATGGAACTATTATATTTTGTTATCCTATTAAGTTCTATTGTTTATCTATGTGTTTTTGATCTACATTTTTCTACTATCTAGATCCTTACGCACACCCAATGAAGCTTCCTGACTTGAGCAACGTGATCCTCGTATTGTAAACGAAAAGCTTTTTATTATACACTTTTCTCCGCTTTTTCGCCACATTACAATTTTATTTGTACCAATAGTTTATGTAAAGTTTGCTTTTATATATACAAATATAAAAATAACCTTAATTTACAATTTTTACTTTAAAAGTAATTTAATAGATTACCTGTTTAATATAACAACAACTTTTCCTCCGTCCGGTCTTTTAAACGCAACCAAGTCCACTTTACTATCGTTATCACATTGGGAGGAATAAATTCTGACAGATTCCCTTGGAATAAATTTAGAGAAGTGTCCCATAGCATAGTACTGCGGTTGTTTGTAAAATTCCGTTACATTTGCAATTATGGGAGAGTCTACTGGACCTGCAAGTGATGGACCACCCTTTGTGTTAAGAACCATATTCCAGTCTACCCATCCTTGAACCCAGTGGTTAAGATCCTATAACACGTAGATTAGTTAAAACAAAAAACATTACAAGAAAATAAGGGTCATAAAAGCTCACATTATGAGCTGTACTTTTTGTTAAATCTTGTTCAAATTCATTCACAATGTATAAAATAGCTTGTAGTTATACTCTTTTTATATGTTATGAGCTAACTTTGTTACCTTTTGTGTCTAAGAGTGATCGGTTTAGTGTGGTTGGCCCATAATCAAATGCAATTTATTGCGTTAGTGTTTTCCTTTTAAAAGTCATCCATCATGTACATAAATGGACATTGGTTGCACTGGAGCAGATAGTCTACATCCTGTCGTTGATTGCACCTGCACAAGGTGTCATTTTAATCGAGCTAGCCCCATTTCGCCCTGTTGATCTTTACAGCGAGCACATATAAGTGCGCGAAGATACCAACAAAACAAAACAGATGCTGAGGTTTGCCAAAATAAAAACCCTAAGAAAAACAGTGAGCAAAACAAGCCGAGACAGGGTGAGAAATACAAAAGTTAGAGAGCAGTGCAAAATTCAAGATATTGTAAGATGGGGAAGGTAGCGTAAGAAAAAATCCTAAGAGGATGTGCTTCAATCATGTAAGAGGAATGGATGAAAATAGACTCCCAAAAATTGCCCTAGAAAACAACCCGTCCGGTTCAAGACCTCTCGAAAGACCACCTAAAATATGTAGGGATAGTTGGCAATCTACCTCTCAGAAAATTAACTAGAGGCAGCTTCAGAATTAAACAGATCCAAAGATCCAAGAAGTAGATAAAGAAGAAGAAGATCTTTACAGTAGTTACGCTAGATCTCATTCGGCTCAATATTACCCATGTCCTTCAGTCGCAGTTCAAACTAGTGTTTCTGTTTGGTTTTTGGACAATACTAGATTGTAGGTTCCTCGTTAACGCCACTGGAAAAGCCTTCCCTGAATTTTAATCGCAAGTGATCGTGTGAGTGCCCTTTCACACCAAACATCGCATATCTGTCGTCAAGTGACGCTCTGAAGCTTCGTGTACTCCATGGTTTGTCTTCGCAGTTCCGCTCGGTTGATTTTCGCACACATATAATTTTTTTAGTGGCGTTGCTTTCACCGGCACCTTGTTTGTATTTGGCACGCTTCGTTTAAGGTCACGTCTTCTTTTTTAGCGTGTGCCTACTTACCACAAATAGAGCATGCATACTTGTTCGTAAAAAAGTTGATTCTAGCTAGGAAGACGTTTGGTCAGGGGCTCCATTTAGAGTCCCGAAGAAAGGTAGTTTCTGAAGTGGTTTCCTAAAAGATGCTACCTTCAGAACTGTCATCGCAGCTCTTAAAATATAATATAAGGTCAAAAATATTGACCTTAACAGCCAGGTTATTAAAGTCCTATATTTTAAAATGTATAATATACAGTATGATTCAAATGTATGGAATAAATGCATTATTTCAGAACATCAAGTTGTTGGACATTAAGTCATCAAACTCGGCGTAATGACGTAATTGACGATTTTTTTAAATACAAACTGAGGTCACGCGACAGCTCATTTGAAAGATCTCCTTATCGTCTTTATAACGATGTAATCACTTGAATATTTGTTCCTATAGGGTTCACCAGAATTATGAACTTTGTTAAGTAACATGAAATTACAATAAATATTCATTCCTGTACTAAAATACACTAAGCATCACAACTGGGAATAACATAAACTAGTGTTTTTTGTTGATTCCGAAAAAAAAAATACATTGATAACAAACGATGCTGCATTATAATCTAAAATTAATTATTTTAGTAAGTATTCCAAGTTATTTTTCAAAAATATTTAAATCAATATTGTCACTGTTCGTAATTTATTTAATGCTAAATACCCCAATCGGAACCAATTACTCAATCAACAGTAAGTAAAATTAAAAAAACAAAAATAGAGAAATGGGCCATGTTAAAGATTTTTCCAGAAGTGGTATAAAATCAATATCCGGAGTCAAGAAACTGGACGTTGTACTGGCATTTCAAAAAAATCCCTCTACCAGTTCTAGACATGTCGCACTAAATAATAATGTCCACCAATCAACTGTTTTAAGAGTGCTAAAAAAGAAGGATGAAAATGCACATTGGATGGAAGAGTATAGGACATAATATCCCGAAAAGGTAAATGTTTGGGCCGATATTATAAACAATCAAATTGTAGGGAATTTTTTTTTTGAGGAAAACTTAACTGCTTCTCTTTATCTTGATTTTTTATTAGGATAATCTGTTGCCACAGCTGAATCAGATATTTCGAAATAGAAATGATTTGGGGTACGAAAAAGATTGGGCTCCCCCAAACTACGGCGTTGAGATACGAAATTATCTTAATAACGTTTTTTTAGATAGGTGGGTAGTTAGAAGTGAATGGGCCACCAAGGTCTCCAGATTTGACTATGTTAGACTTTTTTCTGATGACATTTAAAAAGCAGAGTGTATCAAAATCAAGCGAATAATGTAGACGAGTTGAAGGATCGCGTCAGAACGGAAATTGCACAAATAACACCTGAACTCATCGAAAACGTTGGGAAAGAATTTATTGATTATCTTTCACATTGAATTATTGCTGAAGGTCCTCAATTTAAAAATTTTAAAGTAAACATTTATTGTAAGTAAAATGTATTAATAAACCAAGAGTTTTGGTTAACCCTGTAAAAATAAATATTCAACTGAGTATATCGTTGCAAGGACGATAAGGACAACTTTTAAATAAGCTGTCGCATGATCTCGGTTTGTATTTCAAAAAAATCGTCGATTACGTCATTACGCCGACACTAATGACGTATTGTCCAACACATATACAGAGTGGCCGAAAAGTCTGGAAACTGCCAATTATCTCGTAAATTACTTCTTTTAATTGTACAATATTTAAAGTACACCTATTTTGGAATACGGAGCTTCCATATTTAATATTTGCAATGTTGCCAGATTTGCCATTCCTCTTATATTCTTAGTAACTTTGGTTTTTCAAATTCATCACCCTGTATATTCAGTTATTATTGGAATCTCCTATTCAATACGAGGTCAACCATACGTAACACTTATGATTTTATGTAGTTTGGAAGATCTTAAATGCATAAAACATAAAGTCTGGCAACGCCTGACTTGTCTCAATAAATTTGTTAATACTAACTATTTTTAACTACATTAAAATGTAACAATAAATAGACTACAACATTTTTTAACATAATGGTTACTTTATCAAGTGTTCAAAATGTGCTCCCTGTGAGTTGACAGTACCCTAATCGAAGGTAGAATACGTCTACCACATTTTTCCATGATTGTCAAGAAGATCGTCGAGATTCATCGATATTTCGTTGCCTTAGTTCTGCAAGACTTGCTGGTTTAGTTTTGTAAACTTAATTTTTTAAGTATCCCCAATAAAAATAATCTTTAGGGTTAAAATCAGGTGACCGTGGAGGCCATTTAATTCTACCTCGTCTATCAATCCATCGTCCGGGAAAGACCTCTTCTAAATAACGCCGAACGTTTACACCAAATTTTGTAAAATTATGACAAGCAATTTACAATTTACGAATTACGAATTACGAATTACGAATTTACTAGAAAGATACCGATCAGTTAGACCAAACAGGGTTATGAATGACAACAAAACTAGATATAATGCAAAGTTTTGTTGAAGATCCACATATGTTCTCATGCAGGGTAGCACAAGTACATGATGTAGATCGCTGTTCATATTTTTAAACGATACAAAATTAACTTATTGCAATAATTAAGTGAAGATGACTTCGATCGTAGATTAAAGATTACTGAGGTAATGATGAATAAAATGGAAAAGGATAAAAATGTCGTTAACAGAATATGTTTTTCCGATGAAGCAACCTTTAGACTGTGTGGAAGTGTAAATCGACACAATTTAAGGTACTAAAGTAAGGTAAATTCACACTGGATGCGTAACCAAACTCAAAGACCACAAAAATTAAATGTATGGTCAGGTATACTAAGTACTCAGTTAATTGAGCCGTTAATTTTTTATCGAAGGAAATTTAACTTCAGATAGTTAGGAAATGTTACTTAGAAATGAAAATGTACCTACACTGATGAACTTGTTTGGTGCCAATTTTAATTAGATATCGGCAAGATGAAGCTCGAGCTCATTTTGGGGTAAATGATCGGGGTTATTTAGAAGAAATATTTCCAGGACGATTGATCGGTAGACGAGGTAGAATTAAATGGTTTCCACGTTCACCTGATTTCAATCCTAAAGATTTTTTTATTGGGGATACTTGAAAAATTCAGTTTACAAAACTAAACCAGAAAGTCTTGCAGAACTAAGGCAACGAAAAATCGATGAATCTCAACGATCTTCTAGACAATCATGGAAACATGTGGTAGACGCATTCTACCATCGATTAGGGTACTGTCAACTCACAAATTGAGCATATTTTGAACACTTAATAAAGTATCCAAAATGTTGTACTCTATCAATTGTTACGTTTTAATGTAGTTAAAAATAGTTAGTATTAAAAAAATTATTGAGACAATTAGGCATTGCCAGACTTCTGTTTTATGTATTTAAGACCTTTCAGACCACATAAAATCAAAAGTGTTGCATATGGTTAAACTTTTAATGAAAAGGAAATTCCAATAATGACTGAATATGCAGGGTGATGAATTTAAAAAATCAAAGTTACTAATAATATAAGAGAAACGGCAAATCTGGCAACATTGCAAATATCAAATATGGAATCTCCGTATCCAAAAATAGGTGTACCACAAATTTTGTATAATTATAACTAGCAATTTACGAGACAATTGGCCGTTTCCAGACTTTTGGGCCACTCTGTATGTAGCAGTTGATGGCCATTCAAAAATTAAAATTGACGTGATTTAAGATTTTTTTAAGTCATCTGTTTCTGAAATAACGAAATTATTCCATAGATTTACATCATACTGTATGTCTGAATAGTCATTATGAATGAAGTAGATTAACTTTTTAGCTCTTTTCTTTTACCAAAATAACAAAACAAAATAATTTG